GGGGGGGTGGGAGGGGGAGCTTGCTGTAAGCAGTTTAGGTCACCAGTGTTGGCACTGTGCTTCTTACTGAAATTAGTTTATGCTGAAGAGCGGGATAAGGGAAATGGGGCCAGCCAGCTTCTTTGTCCCCGTAGAGGAGAGTTTGCACCTGCTAATTTCCAGGAAGCCTTCCCAGAAGAGCAGACAGTCTCCCCTCTTGCAAACCAGGTGTCCCTCAGATTGCCACCTTCACCCTGTCTCTGTCTTGGCTGTCTACCCGCCCAGTATCACAGTGCATCTTGAGCTCTATCCCAGCCAGGCTGGCTGAATTTTGAAACGCCAAACCTAAGAGATCTGGCTTGGTGGGGACCTGTACTGGTCCTCTGGGGAAGGATTTTGCTACACTGGGAATGATGTCCCTTTTGTCCCAAAAGGGCAGTCTAACCAAAACACAAGGGCATGGAGTAAAGTACAGCAAGGAGCCAGTGTCCAGGTTAGCCACCCTCAGCAGGTGTCTCAGTGCATATGCTGAGGGGCAGGCAGGGGAAATGACACATGCCAGCTCTTTTCTCCATGGAGAAGCAATGCCACCTCTCTCAGATGCACTCCAAGAAGGGGTGCTCTCTCTCCCAGTGTGTCCTAGGGGATGCTCAAGATTGCATAGTCTGCCCCCAGGCTATCTGCCCTCATTCCCAAAAGAGCACTGCAGTGCCCTCAGGGCTCCACACTGGCTATGCCACAGACCTCTTAAACTCCAATCTTTGAGACCTGCTGTTTGTAAAAACTCACGAAAAATCAACCCCTCTTGTCCCCATCAGTGGCTTTGGGAAAGTTTTTTCCTTGTGTGATTCCCTGTGCACTCCTCTCATTCTCTCTTGCATTTCTCTGTGACAGGACTCTGTCCTCTCCATAGCCCTCACAATCCCTTTCTCCCCCAAACCACGTCTCTGCACCTCCTCCCTCCACATTGTGGCCTCTCCTCTCTCTGTAGTTGTGCAGTTTGTTCTGTCAGTGCTTGATAGATTTCTTGAATATATAGAATGATTGATATTTATCGAGCTATGTTCGAGGGAGAGGCAAGTCTAGGTTCTTCCTACTATTCCATCATCTTAGCTCCTACCCCAAAGTAGAGATTTTTAGATCAAATGTTTAGCATCCATTTTTTTCTCAATTCCAAGGTAAGTATCAAAAGAAGAATAAAAGTGCATAAATATAACAACCAAAGAGATATTTGAAAGTGAATTTATGTTTGGCTTAATATGTAAGACATATTATATGTTTGTGAAGTTTATACTTTTGCTTTTTGAAGATAAAAAATACAGCCTATATGACATACAGAAATCATAAGATAGTGTCAAAAGTAAAACTATATTTATAAAATTTTTTATATATTTACATTTATGAATGTGATATGATTATAAGTAAATGTAAATAATCATAAATTTATTGTAAGTGTAAAAACCAAAATCAAGATGGCTATTCACAAGACAAGCCCCCAAATTAAGGTAATACAGAAAAAGTAAAATGAAAAGCTAAGCAAATACATATTAAGTAGAATAAAACAAAAGGTTTAACATTAGTCTTAATGTAGAATTTATCACATAAAATGTTAAATGGCATAAATAGGAACCCTTTCCATTGATGTAAAAAATAATAGCTATAATAAAGAAATATTTTGAGGATTAATGTACAAAATGGTATTATACAAAAACATATGAATATTTTTGGAAATTTAAAACTAAATAGAAAATATTGCAGTACAGGTAGAATATATTTATCTCAAAAAACCATTTTGTTAATAATAAGCATATAGGCTTCCACTTCTAAGAAGATAGAGTAGATGCTTCTCTTGCAAAGTATAATTCAATTCCTTGGACATTATATGTGTTACATAGTTATTATTTATGATATAATGCATTACATAATACTACAGGTATACCTTGGAGATACTGCAGTTTTCATGTCAGACCAACACAATAAAAAAAAAAATACTAAAACAAGTCAAATAAATTTTTTGCTTTTCTAGTGAATATAAAAGTTTTTACTGTAATCTGTTCAGTGTGTAATAATACTGTACTATTATGCATAAAGAAGTATATGAAACCTTGGTTAAATACATGATTGCTAAAAAATGATAACCATCATCTGAGTTTACAGTGAGTTATAATCACTAATTACAGATCACCATAACAAATATAATAATGAAAAAGTTTGAAGTATGGTGAGAATTACCAAAATGTGGCGTGGGAAAAATGACACCAATACACTCGCTTATTGTGGGGTTACCACAAGCTTTAATTTGTAAAAAACACAAACAAAAACAAAAAACAAACAACAACAACAAAACACAAGTGAAAAAAAATGCAGTATTTGCAAAGTGCAATAAAGAAAGTATAATAAAACAAAGTATCCCTGTATATATTATATCTTATATAAATTCCTTGGACATTACATATAAAACAAACATTAAAATACTGAATGGTGAGGCACAGAGGCTGACTGGCTAGGACAATCAGAATCTGAGCAATGACACAGTGGTGAATGAATTTCCTGTTTTGCTTGTTTTTTACATATATCCTAAAATTAAAGCTAAAGAAGTCAGTATCCTAAAAGCCAAAAGATGCAACCAAACAAAATACAAAAATGCCTACTCTATCTAAACAAGCAAGATGAGTCTAGTAAGAAAGTTAACTTTCAAACAATAACTACTCTACTCCAGTCAAAACCACAGAAAACATTTTGGTTCCACTTCTACCCATGCTGCAGAGGCTGAGTGGAGGTCCTAGATTTCCATCCTCATGAAGCTTGGATGAGTCAACCCAATAACCATTGGGATGGTATCACAAGAAGACTAATGGAGATCAGGACTTTCATTATTTCCCAGCTGTAAGAAGGCCACCCTCATAGCCATGTCAATGAAGACCATCTGAAAGTGGAAACTCGCACTTCTACCAGAAGTAATGAGAAGCCCACCTTCAGTTGGAGGTTAACAAAGGTTTGAATGGTGGTGAATCTGGACTTCTATATCCCCCTGGAAGTAACAAGATAGTGACCTCCATTTCCCTTGCTGGAGCAATATCAGAGAAAGCCAGCTAAAACAAGGTTTAAATGAGATTTAAAAGTCTTAGAACATAGTACAAAAATGTCTATGTTTCATTCAGTAGTCACTCAACATACAAAGAACTAGGAAGGTCTTAAACTGAATGAAAAGAGACAATCAATAGATGCTAATCCTGAGTTGCTTGCATTGTTTAAAATTTTCTGATAAATTTTTTAAGCATCATTAAAATGCTTCAATGATCAATTATAAAAATACATGAAATGTACAAATAGAAAGCTTCAACAATGTAATAGATAAAAAGAAACATGGTAATTAGAGAACTCAAAAATACAATAACCAAAATAAAAAAAGCACAGTGGATGAACTTAATAGAAGAATCGAGGGGGAAGATTAAAGAATGTTGAAAAAGGGAAGATAGAATAATAGAAATTAATTAATGTGAGCAACAG